GATGTGTTGTTGGGTCCTTCTGGAGTTTCCCGGAAAAACACATCCCGAAGGAGCACCAACTCCAAAGAACATCACTCCCCATGTTGGAAAAAGAGCACTTCCCAGGTGGATGAAAAAAATACTCATCCTGTACATCCCGGTTCTTCGAGGTTTTGGCCTTTTTGGCTGACCCAAGTTGGCCTCTCCCGGTGTCTTTTTCAGGGGCCGCCCACCTGGAACCGCCTGCCCGCCTGCCCGCCGGCCCCCCGCCTGCGACCTTCTTGAAGCGAAGCCGCTCGCCCGCCTCAAGTCGACTGGAGGAAATCCAGTTCTTGGGCTTGGGTTTCAAGGAACACCGAAGCCTTTCTTTGATGTTGTTTGTTGTGTGTCTTTTTTCTTTCTGTTTTGATACTAATGTTTTTGGGAGGGTCTCTTTTGTTGTTGTTTTTTTTTTTTTGTGGGGGAAGAACGTTCCCCTGAAAAGGACACACCATGGCGGAGTAGGTCTTTTAGGAATCGGGAAAACGACGTCAGCAGCGACTCCAATGGCCAGTGACCTTGGAAAAACCACCAGAGAGGGAGCGAATGATTTGAGAGAACAAGGCAGAGTCCAAAGGTGCGTGTGCCAAAATCATGGACCCCACAAAGGTGCTCGGAGGACACCCTCAACAGAAGCCCCGTACTTGATGCAATGGCCCTCGCCATTTTCGGTGAGTTGCGCTTCACGAAAGCGGATCAACCATGCAAAAGGGCAAGGATGACATTGCCATGCACACTAGCCAAATATGTTTGTGCCGCTGCGGAGCATCAAGGTACCCCTAACTAGGGCATTCACGCATCTGTGCATGGACGTTGAGCATACACAAGCGCAAACGCAAATGTGTATGTACATAGATGACACTCATATCCGGTTTACGACCCACTCTGAGGATTTCCATCATCTCGGGTGGGGTGCACTCTCGCCCATGCTAAAACTTCCTGCATCAGCCTCCAGCACCGCACCGGAACATGCCATGAGGTTCATTCTGCAGGTACCCTGTGCATGAATACCGGTGTTCCGACAGGTCCCCCTCTAACATGTTACCCGCCAAAACAACAGAAGCAACCATTTGTTTCAGGCTGTAGCTGCGTTTTGGGAGGCGGGGTAGCATAAGTGTGTATCTGCACTTCAAATTGGGCGTATAAAGGGGGAAACAAACACCCCAGACATCCAACCAACAAAACAATGGGGTGTTGATGTCACCATTGGTTGCCTGACTGACTCCTCGGGACGCCGAGCGCGCTCCAGCTCAGAGACCACCGCACCTGCCGCGAGGCTCGGAGAAAAAAAAGAAAGAACAAAACGCGCCAAACCGGGTGGTTCCACCGTTTGCTGTTCATATCTACCCCCCAACCAGACATGGAAGCGCAAAGGCCCTCTTACCAAAAGGAAAGTAGTTTTCCACTAGGGGTCTGTGCACTTCCATGTTTGTTGGTGGGAGTGTTTTTGGTCTCAAAATCAGGAACCCTTTCCGTGTGTTCCCCGAGACAACCTAAAAAACGGTGCCAATTCCCAAAACAAACAGTCACACTTTGGACCGTGCCTCAAAGGGGCGTTGCCCAGGTGTTTCCTAAAAAATACAAATGACGGTTGATGTCCTGTTGGTGTCCGAATGCCAAAGCACATGGCAGGAAATGGTTGCCCCTTGCTGCACCTCACCTTGGGGAGGCCTTTGGCCACCAGAAAGTGCCCGTATGTCGAAATGTGCACATCGGGTGTCTTTTTAAGAGGGGCCCGCCAAACATGTGTCGCTGTCCTTTTGGTTGACCTTCAAAAAGCCACATAACAAGGTACCAATTTAAAAAGGAGACACACCCATGCACGCGTCTCAAAATTAAAGACCTTTCCGTAGATTTCTGTGGGCCCCTGGTTTGAGACAGACAGCGTGTACCTAGTTGGCTGCGCCAAATTTCCATGCGGGATGCTCTGCGGGAAACGCAAACAAGGGGAACCCAGCGACGAAAGACATGTCCCTTAATCTGAAGCGTTCCAAACTTCAGGCTGCTGAAGGTGAGTTCCGGCATCTTCAGTTGCCAACATTGCATCGCCCACTGCATGGGAATTCATTTGCCTGGCACTATGAAAATGCAAAGGTTGATCCAACGCTCGAATACGTTACGTGAATACATATGCATCTGTTAAGATAGGTATATCTATGTAGGCCCAACCTGCCATGGTCAACAGGCCTGCTTGCTTGTGGTTGGTAGGCATGATCATCGACCCTTTAAACCTTGTGATTCTTAGGGTTGTCGACAAGAAGGAGTCCAATGCTTGGCAGAATTTGACCATGGCACATATGTGCCATGGTCAAAACTCATTTTGCCCATAGGAACCCCCATAACAGTGGTCCAAAACCCAGACCATCCCTGCCTATGCCCAGCCGCGCGAGCTGTTGTGAGCTCAGGCCTAAGGGAGCCAAAACATGTCTCAGTTGGGTGTGTGGTATTTTGGGTTGAACCAGTTGAACCCGTCAATTGGAAAACTATCATGGTGTGGTTTTAAGGGGAACCCGCTTTTTTTTTTGGGCGGCGGGGGGGGGGGGGTGAGGGAAGTAACCAAAAAGGAAAACCATCATTTTGGGGGAGGGAGGGGCGGTCCGCTAAGAAAAGGACACTTAGGGACCCAGAAATAACACGTGATCACCTTTTGGGGCATAAAGATGGGAAACCAAAAGGTCACAAGGTCGATTCGCTTTGAGCAAGTGAAATGTTGATGGGGTGCTGCTGACCCCGGATCTAAGTAGAACCCCTGGTTGATTTTGATTGGGGGACACGTGTCCAATTCCTTTTAGTGGGGATTCAGACCGCTTTTTGAGGAAACACTCCCTGAATAGATATTCATCCGGGGCCAGCATTACTCTTTGTTCCCTACACAAAGACGGCCGTCGAAATTGGAAGGGTTCCTCATGTTCGGACCTTGAAGGAAAGTCAGGGATCAGCTTTGGGTCCCAAAATGTCCCAAAAAGGCCAGTGCTTTTGGATCCGAACAGCGTCCGGCGGTTTGGTGCCTGAATTCAATCCCAATTGGCCCAATAGGAATCATATTTGCTTGGCTCATGTGGGGATGGTTCCAACAATGCGTCCAATTTAAAAACCAACAGGGTGCCCCCTTCTGTTCTAAAGGGAGTCACAAAAGGGGCAAAATAGGCGGAGCTCCTTCATCAACTCTGCTTTGGAGCCTAGGTTTAGGGTGAGCCTCACTGTGGTCCCTCACAAGTGAACCATAAGTAGACAAAACCGGAAAAGTAAATTGACCTCACCCCCGAGGGTCGTAAAAAAGGGTTCCGACACTTTTGCGATCCCCTTTCATCTTCAAAAGGTGTCGACCAGGGTCCAAAATCTGGACCTGTCAATTCCTAATTGGGGGTTTGGAAACGACACGAAAAACCTTCAATCCCTTTTTAGTGTCCTTTGCGAGGAAAACCGCGAAACGAAAACCCATCCGCTTTTTGGCTTCCCCTTTCAGCCCGCGCGACCTCTCTCTCGCTGGCGACCCGTGTCAACCGAAGCCTAGCCCCCGGCTCTTGCCCTCGCGCACCAGCGCGCCGCCGAGGTCCGCCGGCGCCACAACCTGCCCAACTTGGAGCCTCGGGGGTTTGGATTGGAGGGGGCTTCCACTTACCGCTCTTCAAGAAGGGGTTCAAATCGCAATCCAAACCACCAATCAGGAAGCTGAAAAGCAACAGCTCCCAAAAAACACGCCGGTAACCCAGTAGGCTGAACAATTTGGGATTCCTTTTGACATGAGTTCGCCACCCTTTCCACTTCCCTGCTACTGGGTTCTTCCGCCTTGAGGACTTTTGTACAAGGCACTGTCAAAATTCAACATCCCCCATGGAAGTAAGCCCCTTTTGGGTGTGTCTTTTTCGGGGGAACCCTCCAAATTGGTGGCTTTCTGTTCGCTTCCCTTGAAACTTTTTCAACACCAGGCACCCTCAAACAAAAAGCCCATTTTCCACCCGCAATTCAGTCTTTTAGAGGTGTCACTGGATTTCCCAAGTTGCAATCTACCAGTGCATTCCACTGAACCTGCCATGTATCGAAGGTCCAGGGGGCCCCATACCAATCAGGAACTCCTGCCTCGTAGTTGAACATGGCGCTCCGGATCGCGCCCGAGTTCTCCGAGAGTGATGCGAGATGCGCGGTGTGCGACTTGCTGGTTCAAGCCAGTGGTTCCATACTGAGCCTCAAAGAATCCGAACCCAAAGAAGCATCTCGCGGCCGATTTTGGTGGCTGCGGGCGGCCGGCGACGATCCCGAGGACCCGAGGACGCGCTTGCCGGGCGAAGCCGCGCAAGCGAAGCTTTGGCTCAGTAAGAGTAAGGTTCCCTAAATGTCCCCGGCAGCCAGAAACTGAGCCAAACGGGGATGTTTTGTTGAGACATGGTGCGAATCCCTTCCTGGCACACGGTGAAGCCCTATTGGGCCTGTCTTCCACTAGTCGCAACTACCTCCTCTGGGCCACTACATGTTGAGGGCTTGCGACTGCAACCCTTCAACGAATTTCGAAAATCAATCAGCAAGTGGCGGATCTGGACACTTGAGGGCCCGCCTACCGCTTGGATCCAGCCACCGAGGAATCTGACAAAGAATCGAATCACATGAGTGCGGGTCAAAAGCGGGCTCCCAAAATCGAGCCATGGCAAATGGCAACAATACCCAAATTGGAACCTCACTCGCAACTTGGGAACATGGTGTTTTCTGAGCGCTTGAAATCTCGCTGTGGCCCAAAGCCAAACTGTTTCTAAAGGTCCACGTTCTCCTTGTCCCCACTTCGGGAAATGAATGCCTCGCCAGGTCAAACCCATCCATGCGCCCGGGGTCCGCCAGATGTTACAAACATCGTCTCACAACGAAACGGGTGTGTTTTTGGTGTAAGGGGGCCCCTTTTCGGTTGGTGTTTTTTTGGGAAACACCAATTTTGGGGGCTTCCCTCAAGAAAAGACAACCCAAATGCAGTTCCCCACTGTCGCGACTCCCAGTCCCGAAGCTGCAACGCCGGAAGGTGGGTGACGGTGCGCCTCAGCTGACTCGCCGGAAACCGCGTAAGGGGAAGCCGAGATAGTTTATTAACAGCGTGTTTAGTGAGTATTCATCACTGTTGGAGGGGGACACCCCCCAGTTCAGACTGGGGTTTGCTAATCCGGGCCAACTTTGTTGTGGATAATGCGTGTGAATGCAAAGGGTGATGTGTGTGGGTGTGTGTGTGTGTGTGGCGGTGCCGATGATGGTGCAATGGCAGGTGAGGATGCAAATGGCTAATGCCAGATGCCAGCAATGCCAGTAATGCCAAAGATGCTGGTGCGGCCAGCAGTCAACAACGCCAAGGATGCCAACGATGCTGGCGCTGCTGGTGGTGCCAGTGATGCTGCTGGTGCCAATGATGCTGGTGATGCCAGTGATGCTGGTGATGCCAATGATGTGAATGCTGATCACGCACGAATCACCTTCCACAAAAAAGAAGAAGTGCAAAGACACACACTGACACAATGAATGGTGGTTTCCTTTGGTGTTCCTTGAACACCAACCCAAATGCACCCTCAAAGAGACACACCTGAATTCTGGCTTTGTCAGCAACGGCATGCACCCCCACCACAGGCTTCAAATTGAAGGCAACACGCATCCCTTCACCCGGGGTTTTTGGCGAACTTCTCCACGAAGCTGGCCAGCCAAAAGACTTGTGAGGCTATCGGAAGATGCGAATATGTCACACCGCGTACCAGGGGTTTGCGGTTTCACCCTCCAAAACAAGCGCCTCTTGCATCCATCCAGACTTCCCATTGCCAGGGCTGTGATTGCTTGGAAGATTGTCGACTGAGCCCAAACCACTGAAAATAAAAGATCGACATGCTCTTTGACAGGGATACTTCGATTTCCGAAGACACAAAGGCTGATAACAGTGACCCTGCAAAACAAAGGTACAATACTGGAATTTAGAACTCCAAAAATACATTTGTGGGTTTGCCAGATTGCAAAACCAGGGCGACATCTCGCCATAGCACGGTCTAAACCCAAGCCGTGCGAACCCGATGGTGGTGAACCCGGTGGTGGTGAACCCAGATCAATAAATCGAACTCTTTGATAAACACCCCTACTAAAAGGAATTGGACACCCGCCCCAATTCAACCACCTACTATCAATCAATGGAGGTTATTCATTCGGGTCAGGTGGTAAACTTGCTTGTGCGCAGTCGGGAATGACCTTCCGGGTTTTGGGAATGAACCTGGGGATTCCCTCAAAGGAAACCATAGGGGATGGCTTTTCTTGGGGTCATTCCAATTCTCGTTCCCTGCCTAGAGAACCAGCAAGTAAAACAAGGTCCCCGTTTCATTTGCCCATCCAGAAAGAAAGCGAGGCTTGAGGCGTCTGCTTAGTGCCTCCCTCTGCACAGCAGCCGCCACCTCGGACTGACACAGGTCCCTGCACCCACCTCTTGGTGAAATGGCAAGTCTCAAGGGATTTTCTGCGTTTGGAGGTGCTTTTGAAGCGGACTTCCCCTTTGGAACCCCCCATTGGGGATGGCTTTCGAGGGCAATCAAGTCTTGAAGGGACTGGAGGGCGTCCTAAAATTGGAAAGGGACTACTTTTGGTGATTGACGGAACAGTCAAATGCCGATCAGACCTCCCGTCCCGTCCAAATCAATGTCATAATGGCCAAACCCGAATCAATTGGAACGATTTCTTCAAAGCAAAAAGGATCAGGACGCTGAACTTGCGGCAGGGGAAGGCAGAGGCCCAAACATCGCACCCACGCACCTTCCTTGGTTCAAAACCAATGTCTTGACGGCTAAACAATGATAGGCACCAGAACCAAGACCAGATATCCTTGAGAGCTGATTGACCCGTACTTACGCCAGGCTTTGCCAGAGGGAAACCAAGTCTAGGCCAAGGTGTAGGCCTCACATGTGCCATGGTCAAACCTCCCGAATCTGCGAGTCATGGTCATGAAACCTTTTCATGGATTTGTCTAAAGCCCCTATTGAGTTGCATGGCATCCCGGCCACCTCTAAGAAAAGGGGGTCCCTTCAGCCCCGGTTCCGGGGCAACTTTCGAACCCTCGAGATTTGGCCCGGTGATTTTGCCATAATCCAAATCATCCAAGTGATTGAGGGGATAGAAAACGAAGTGCTCTGACTTTGCTACCCCAAAAGCCGTCAAGACAATGAGCCTTGTGAAAACCGCACTTCCTGAGTGGATTGCCCAACAAAACATCAACTTGTTGCTTGCAACGTCATGGTTACCAACTTGAGGAGCGGGTGAACGAAAGCTAGCAGTTGTTGCATGAGATGGGTCGGTGACAGAGTGGATTCATGGGTAGCTTGTGTACAACGAGAGGCCCGGCAAGATTCGTAGGATGCGACACGCAAACGCACATGGTGGCGTGGCAAACCTTGAAAAATAAAAACAACGAGAGGCGTCAGAAGCTGTCTTAAAGCACCTCTGGGTTCTGCATGCTGCGTGTGCAACGATTCTTGCGAGGTGGTTTACTGAGAAGACTGAGGTCTCAAATGAACAAGCTGAATCGGTGGAACATGTAAAAGTTCGTAGCACCAAGTCCAAAACGGGCAAACCGAGACTGCTGAACACTGAGCCACTGCCCGGGGGGGGGATGGACCAGGGAGGAATCGAGCCTGAATAAGGTTGAAAAAATCGAATCTTTCGGCATTTGAGCCCCTTACCTTGCTTACGCAAGGAGAAACTTCAGCTAGCTAAAGCTAGCTTTCGTGACTTGGGAAGTGAGAAAAAACGGTGATACCCACATGGGCCATCCTCGTGACTACTTACTACATTGAATTTTCCCCAAGCAGCGAAGAATTGGGGTTCTAACTTAAGGTTTAAAGATTGAGCAAGTGTGATGCTGGCTCCGGCATCAAATGCCAGATGCTCCTGTGACGCTGGGTCCCGACGCCCCCCCACCTGTTGTTTCTTTGGGGCCGGACCCGCCCCACTCCCCTCCGCCCAACCCCGCCCCCAAGACGTTGCCTCCTGGCGCATGTCCAAGCCCGCAGAGGCTGCTAGGGCGCCCGTCCTATCAAAAGCCAGAAGCCCGTTTTGGGGAGTCCCAGCCTTTGGGGGTTTGGCGACACGCCAGCATTTTCAGCGGACCTCGATTTGGAGAAGAAAAAAAAAGTGGTGTGCTGGTCCAAAGTGACAAGGACCACAAGTGAAAAGAAAAAACAGAAAGAGGGCAACTAAGTTTGTCCACCTTTCTTATACGGTAAGACACCGAAAATTGTGGCAGGGTGTTGCGGTTGGTTGTGGTTTGCAAAGGAGTGGTGCCGTTTCCGTTCTCAACCATTGATCTGTTCAGAAACCCCGTCTAAACTGGGCTTGGAGCCGGCGGATGCCCCGTTCGCCATATTGCAAGTAAACCAACCACGGCATCCACCGTTGGGGGTTGAAACTTGCTGGCGCTCAGTAGGGAATGACCTTCGAGGTTTTGAGAATGACCCGCGTTGGGATTCCCCTAAAGGAAACCATAGGAGGTGTTTCTTGGGGTCATTCCATTTCTCATCCCCTGCTGAGCACCAGCAAGAAAAAGAAGTCAAGAGGACACCAACCTCGAGAAACGCCCCGCCTGGCCGAATCCGCACTCGGCTGCAGCGACAGCAGCATGATCCACAGCCTTAGATCTACACACTTTGGCCCGATGCGAAACATGGTCCGGTTGGCCAAACAAATGCAAATGGGAGTGTCTGAAAATACAGGACCCCCTTCGGTTGGGATTCAAAGGGCCAAAGGAAACCAGCGAACCCTATTTCGAGAAACACCATGGGTGTGATGTGCTGTTGATGGTACCTTCGAGGTTGATTTTATCGGTAAACTGAAGGGAAACCGAGGCCCAGTTTGGGGAGTACACTTTGAGACAGTCCCAGTGGGGCATCTGACAATTGTTGCAAACTGTTGCGGTGGCGTCTGATGGAGTCCATTGAAATCCAATCAGTTACGTGCATTGCTTGTACCATGCTCAAACTTGTTCAGGGCATGATTCTTGCGAGAGCCAAAACAAAGGGCCGTTCAATGAAAGCCCCATAATGGAAACACAGCTAGAACTACCCGTTGCCCCAAACGGCCACCTGTTTCAAAACACATGCTCAAAGCTGACTTTGTGCATGCTGAACCTTGCAATTGGGCAAACAGTGAAACAAGGTTCGCCCCTTTTAACCAAGGGATTCGCAAAAAAAAAAAAAGGTTCCAACAGGTATGTGTCAAAGAACAACCGGGAGACCCCCCCCCCCCTCCCCCAATTTTTTGGCGGGCCTTTGGGTTCTGTCAAGGTGCAAAGGGAAGCCTCGAAACCTTGCTGTTGCTCAATAGGGAATGACCTTTCGGGTTTGGGGAATGAGCCGTTTTGGGATTCCCTTAAAGGAAACCAGGAAACCACCAGTTGGATGTTTTTTCTTCGGGTCATTCCAATTCTCGCTCCCTGCCTCTCGAAGCAGGCGGGGACAAACGCACGGCACAGCTTGGGGCAGGGGCGGGATCACCTGCTGCAGCAAGGCCTCAGGAAGCTCGAAGACCAGGGCCTCACAAGAGCCGAGTGGAGTCTGACCCTTTTCCCATTTCCGAGGCTCCGAAATGAAGAACTTGCCATCGGTGCCTAGGTCCTCCAGTAGAGAGGTAGAGAATGAAAGTTGGAATGCACCCGGGGGTCCGGGGTCATTCCCTCCTTCTCCACTAAGCACCAGCAAGACAAATACCCACGTGTCGTGAGTTCTCAAGTTTACCCCCTGTTTCTACAAAAACCCTGGCTCAGAGTGCACAAGCCCTAGAAAACTCTGCGAACGCAAGCGAAGACCCTTGAAGTTCAACCCCTAAATCCGCCAGGTATGCATCATGTTTGAGGCCGCCAAAAATTTCTGAGCCGAAGGTACAGAGACACCGTCCGTCTTCATGGGTTCCAGTGGTTGACTTTTGAGCCGAAGCGAGGGAAGCGAGTCCAGGATTGAGAAAGCCCAGTTTGCTCCATGTGAAAGGGGATCCGTGAATTTGTTGGGGAAACCTCCCTGTGAAGCAGTAAGACTGATTAAGCTGGGGTGGAAGTTGGTGGGGAAGGGACAAACATCTTCACAAAGGTGCCAAAAACTTAAAAAGTCAACGCAAACAGCAGCCGAGAAGCCACGGGAGGACAGGCCCTTGAAGGCGGACCAAAAAAAACACTCGGTGGTATAAATAAACAATCCAGCAAACAAACAAACAAACAAACAAACAAACAAACAAGCAGACAGACAGACAGACAGACAGACAATCAAACAATCAAGCAAGCAAGCAAGCAAGCAAAGAAAGAAAGAAAGGAAGAAAGGAAGAAAGGAAGAAAGAAATAAAGGAAGAAAGGAAGAAAGGAAGAGACAAACACAAACAAAGAAACGAAGCAAACAAAACAAGCAAACAAAAGACATGTGTATAGCCATCTATACTCATACTGCCGCTATAGAATCAGGGGCAACTCACCCAAATATGGGTGGTCATTTTAACCGATGCGCCCAATGTCGCCACCAACACCTGGGTCGAATTCTTGGATCCACCGCTGCGGAACCCGGCCACTGCCCAACTTCAAAGGAAGGCTTCTGGACGGATGACTTTGGCGATCGAAAACCAGGGCGGCTACCCAAAATGCTCGGTGCCCTCTTGGTTCCCCATATGCAAAACGTGCCTTTTTTTTTGGACACTCCCTGACAGCGACGATCCACATCTCGTCTAGTGGCTTCCCAAGGAAAAGGATGAACACCCTGCTTCCGTCTGGTGATTCGCGTCCAAACAAAACACGGCGAAAGGGCGCCACTGCCCAACTGGATCGTCCTATGTTGGGGCAGCTTCGCTTTGGTTTATCTCAAAGGGCTCTTCCCATGTCAAGAAAATCTAAAGAGCACATACCCACCAACTAGCGTGGAAGTGCAAAAAGAAAGGCCCTTTCTAAGAGGAAAGTCGTCTTTCTACAGGGGTCTGTGCACGTCCATGGAATCGCTGGAGGGTATCCGCCTGAGCTGCTTCGAGACCGGCCCCGCCTTGCCCAAGCCATGAAGCTCCTCGAGGCAAGGGGCCTGCGAGGAGCTCGTCCCGCTACGCGGCGAGAGAGGCGTGTCCCGGGGACTCCACCTTTACGAGAATTTGCCCAAACCCATGCCATGTTTTTTTTCTTGTAAAGAAAGCACGGTTAGGATGATCATGACAAGAGTGACAAATCAATTGGCGCGTTGGGAAAATAGGATGTCAAGAAAATATCAGGACAATCTGAAGTACTGTCAAAACATGGAGCTGCAACGGACACCAAAGTTCATCAGGATGTCCAGAAGTGCAAGAAACAAGGGGATGAGATGAACAGTGAGATTGTTCAAGATACAAAGGAAATGTGATATTGACTATGTCCTGGATGACCAGGCAGCCGAGCAAGGTAGCGATTTTGCAATTCTAGGTCAAACGGTCAAACAGACATCGCGGTGGCGGGATAAGCATGAGCAGAACTTGAACAATACGGCATGAATCAATTTGCAATGTTGACATTCGGCTTAGGAATTGCACACCGTGACTAGCACGACAATGCCAAGGAACAAAATGACCAGCAATTTCCCGCAATTGATAAGCAGGCGGAGGAGCATGAGCAGCGCTGGCGGCGGCGGCGCTAGTGAGTGGGGGTGGCAATGACGGCAATCGTGATAATGAAATTGACCACAATGATGCTAGTGGGAGTGATTATGATTAAAGGAGGAGTCGGGGGAAAAGCAGCAGAAGGAGGAGGAGCCCCACCTTCTCCATTCCCCGCAACCCAACAACCCAACCCCCCAACCCAACCCCCCCAACCCAAGCCCCCCCAACCCAAGCCCCCCCAATCCAACCCTCCAACCCCCCAACCCCCCAACCCCCCAACCCCCCAACCCCCCAACCCCCCAACCCCCCAACCCCCCAACCCCCCAACCCCCCAACCCCCCAACCCCCCAACCTCCCAACCCCCCAACCCCCCAACCCCCAGCAAGGCAGGCGCCTCGCCCTGGCCCCCTGCCTCCACCACCTGAGGCGCGAGGTCCAAGAGCTTCAGCGCCAGCCCGGGCCTCGCAGGACATCCGTGTCTCTGGATCCCCAGGTCCCCCGATGTCCCAAAACCAATCCACCAACCCACCAATCAACAGAAACCAAGAAACCAAGAACCAAGAAACCAAGACACCAACAACCAACAAACCAAGAAACCAACAAACCAAGAAACCAAAAAACGAAGAAACCAAGAAACCAAGAAACCAAGAAACCAAGAAACCAAGAAACCAAGAAACCAACCAACAAACAGGCAGACAAACAAATGGACAAACAGACAAACAAACGGACGGATGGGCGGAGAGGTGGACAAAAGAACAAGCACACAACACGAAATCAGACACGGCACAACTCAAATCAATGACCAAGCCACAATATGACTTATTGCAGAAGTTCAGTAGTGTACGCAGTTTGCCCCTCAACAAATCGTGGAATCCCAAAAGACACATTTGGGTTGCATACCTAGAAATGTTTTTTTCCCTCAATCGGGTTGTTTCCAAATGGGCTACGTGCAACCAGGGGCTTCAGTCCTTTAGGGTCACAAGAAACCCAACGGAAACCGATGGGAAGCCTATGATTTGCCTCTTGGAAGATTCCCTCCGTTACCCTGGCTGAGTTCCGTGACTGTCAAAACAGGGCGGTGCCGAATAGTTGGCATCCCCAGTCTTTCCCTGTCCGATTGTGGAAACTGTAACCACTCCTGCGATACCACCGGGCAATCGGCTGTCTCAATGACTAAGTCTCCGAAGAAATCAAGACAGCTGTGTTCCCGGGCATCACAGCGGGATTTCACATCCCCTCATTGCCACGCTCCTGCTTGGCCCTTGTACGTCCTTTGGTCCTGGAGCTGTTTGCCCTCTGGTCCAAGCATCGCAAAGCGACACTGGAACAAGGCGCCAATACCGAAAATCTGCGGGAGAAAGCCATGCGCTTTTTCACCGGAGAACGCAGTTCTCGTTGTTTGTCAAACTGAAGAGGTGATGGCGTCACTCGCCGGCGGCCTACCGTTCGCATTTCATGAGAAAGTGGGGGATGTGACCTCCGTATTGAAAGGCAATCCTCGCGTAGCTTTTGTCAGTTGAGCCCTGGAGTCATTGAGCAGCAGACAGGATGGCTTCAGAATCTCAAAAGCCTGGCTTCCCCAAAAATTTCCTATGCCCCGTTGTGGACGGACCGTTGGACCAATGCGCGGTCTGATGTTGCCCAACAGCACGACTTCGTGTCTCCACAATTCTGAAGCCGAAACTGGTGGCTTCTCGTCCACCGGTGGCTTGGCCGAATCAGGTTCGTTTTACGTCAGCCCAAACAGGTCGTTCAAAAACAATGACTGCCAGTGCGGCAATGCTCAGTCTGGGCAACTCGAACGCATCCGACTCAACCCAGTCTTACTTGGAGACAAATTGCAAATCCGCGAATCACCAAAACACACAACTAATAACTCATAGATAAGAAGAAGAATCACCATGATAGTGAGAATATATATATATATAAAGAAGGAAAATAAACATGGCCCTCCGAAAGCCCACGGACCCCATGCCTCTCAGAGCTCCTTGGGCGCCAAGCGCCCTGCGTCTTGCGACGTCTTGCGTCTTCCCGTCTTCCCGGGCAGCTGGGTGGTCAGGGCTCCCCAGATTTCCCCCCCAAAACATCGGACCCCACCAAAAAGTCTCTCACCTTTCAGGGGCCAAGGTGATGCTTTTTCTCACCAGAAAGGGGGACCCCCTGAGAAATCACCAATCCAAACCAGGAGAATATGCTGTTTTTGCCACGGACTTGAGGAAATGAGTGAGTCTCCTGGTGGATTCGAGGACTGGCGCCGCAAGGGAGATTCTTCTGTGTATGTAAGCTAACCAAACGGCACCACACAAGCAAGCGATAACTCTTTTATCCAAGCAATGTGTTGGTGCCAGGGACTCATCTTCCCCTGTCAGATGTCAACGGCTGGGTGGGCCCCATGGGCCACCCACCACAAACTCTCAAAAACTGAAGAACGGGTGTGCAGACTGATAGCGCCCGCCCCTGAGCCGGGGCCCGGGGCACCCAGGCCACAGGGGGGTCTGCCACCAGGGGAAGTGAGTCACCCACCGGCTCCGGTCACGGGAGCATGGGTGGGCCCACACTAAGATCAAATGCATCTCCATTCAGGAGACGTGGGAGAAAAACGAACTCCTCGCAGAGTTCCTGTTTGGGGACCCTGTGCAAAGGGTCGAACCCAGAGAAATCTGGGTGCGTCAGCTCATCAGCCCATTGGTTGAATTCCCGGGGCACGTGGTTGGCCGCCAGCGAGCAGCCATGGGTGTGGAGCAGGAAGACCAGCTCCATCAGGATCGCCGCGGTGTAGGGCTTCTTGGATCCAAGGTTGAGCATCGCCATAACGTTGCCCTGATTGTCACTGCCCACCGGGAGTCGGACCCGGGAGGACAGAGGGCCTTGGTGCGTGAGGATCATGTTACAGAGGAAGAGCGTGCCCAGCATTTCCAAAGCCGCAATCCTCCGCTTGGGATCCCCATTCTTGAATGCCCAAGGGTACTCCTCCACGTGGATCTGCTCGTGGAACCAGTACACCTCCTTCTTTTCTGGCTCCATTTTGTTGGAGCACCATCCTCCCACAAATGCCAGTCCTTCGTCCGAGGCGCTAGCATCGCTGCAACCCCACCAAGAGGACTTCGGCAAGTAAGGGGAGTACTGGACGAAGGGCGTGTTGAAGAGGAACCGCAGCATGAACGCCAGCATCCTGACCACCTTGGGGGGTTTCCCCACCGTGGTGGTGGCCATCTTCCAGGCCCAAAGTGGCTGAAGCATCGACTTCGCCAGCGGACATGCAGCAGTTGCCCACTGGATGCGGCCCAGGGCCTTCTCGATGTCCTTCGAGTGCATCGCCTGCCCTTCCACCATGGTCTGCAAGACCTCCATCACCAGGATGTGTTTGTTGGCGGCCATGAGAACCTGCGGGATGTTCGGGTGGACCACGAAGCCCAGCCACGTGTTGACCTCCGCCAAATGTGTCTTCTTCCAGCTAAGCGGGGTGCCCAAGGCCAGGAGCGTTGCCAACAGCGCCACCGCCAGGTTTACTGCCCCCTCACTGCGAAGCAGCCACAGGAAGTCATCCACAAAGACGAAGTTGGAAAAGTGCGTAGAGGACCCTGAGTAGAAGGGCTGCCAGGCGTCCCCAGTAGGATTGGGCACTGGCCATGCCGTATGTGCCCACCTTGTTCACCCACCATTCTTTTCCCAGTGAAGCCACCTGGAACCGCCAGTCCTTCCTGAGGACCTTCACTCTCCGGTGGGCCTTGGTGACGTCCGCCTTGAGCAGCGCTCCGGCCAGAGCCAGCCCTCGGGTGGAGGTTTTCCGACCTCCTTCTCGGGGCCAGGGGCACCCTGAGAGGGAGGTCCCTCCGCAGCTGCCGCATGTAGCCAATGAAGAGCTTGTACCCCATCCAGCACCGTCGGAGCCGTCGTCCTTTCCACCGTCTGGTTCCTGATGGTGTCATTGGCCCCGCCCACCGAGCCATCGTAGATGGTGCGGATCTTGTCCCCTTCGTCGATGCCCGCTAGGGGTCCTGGACAAAGGTCCTCAATCTTGCAGCCACAGCGCGCTGCTGCCTCCACCTTGGTGAGGGGGCCCTCTACCATGCCCATGGGGACCTCCTCCAGGAATGTGCCACGGATGAGCCCACTGAAGTGATCCGCTGAGGGGTAGTTACCCCGGGCCGTGCGTGGGATGAGGGAGTTCCTGGAACTCCGGCTCCTCCCCTTTTAGCTCCTTCTTGAGTGGCCAGATGCCCGGCGAGGCTAGGGGTGGGTCCGTGACCCCCAGTGGGACCCCGACCCCTTGTTCCAGATCCCGAGGAAACTGGTGGTCGGGGTCCTGAATGTTCAGCGCCACGCTGTGCAAGATGTCCAGGAAGAAGGGTTGGCCTTCAGCTGGTCGGCCTGCCCCCGGCGCAAGGATCTCCCTGATATCCTCCAGCAGATCCTCCGGGAAGGGATGTGACCCGTCCCCCAACGAGAGCGACTCCTGGAGCTTGTCCCCCCATGGCAAAGTGAGGACACAGATCTTGGCCCCCATCGCTGCTGCTTTGGACAGTGGCCGAGTCCACGGGGCCAGCCGTCCAAGCGAGGGCTTCCCACCCCCGTCCCCAAGGGGGCGCTGTTTGAAGGCCATCTGGAGGTACATAACCTTGTCGGAGAGATTTGGGTCGTGCGTGATCGGCAGGGTGGTGGGCCGATCCGAGATCTCCATGCAATGGCGTGCCCATGGCTCAGGAGAAAGAGTTCCACCCCGAAGCTCGACCGTCCCGCCAGCCGGCTGCGCTGGTGTCCGGACCTCCGGATTGTCTGCGGCCGAGACCGGAAGTGAGCCCAAGGTTAGTCCCGCCAACGCTTGCTGGCCGGCCTTCAGCCTCAGGGACTGGCGCTTGTTGTCCCCCGGCGTGATGGGAGATGGTTCCCTCTGTCGCCTCGGGGGGGTCGTTGGCTTGGGGCACTGCGCCCCCCGGCCTCAGCGCCTCCAGGACGGGACCCGCTCTGCAAAGGATGGCCGCTGCGAGACCCTGCATCATCTGCTCTGGATACCGGCTGAGATCACTGGAGTTGAGCTTTTCCCCCCTGGGGTGAGCTCCGTGGTTGCATCGCAGATCATGCCAATGGTGAAGGGGAAGGTCCGTTGACAATGTCGTGGACTTCACTACCACCTGGCCCAGGCGGCACTCGTCAAACTTGATGAGGGAGTGGTGGAGTGCGTTCGCCCATTGAATGTAGGCCCGTGTGACCCAGATCGATGAGCACCTCGCTGCGCTCGGGCTCTTGCTGCACTCCATTGGGTCCATTGGGTGCTCCAGGAAGGAGGAGCCCACCTGCGGGACCGTTAGTTGACCGAGTCCCTGGTAGGCCAGATCTGCCGGAGCATGAGCACGCTGTCGTTGTCCGTGTCCTCCATTACCCGGGGCTCCAGGTCCTCTAAGCCCCACAGGGTCTGCTCCGCCCTACCCCTCACCGGCGGCGGGCCTCCCGGTTTGGGGAACCATCTGAGAATGCTCCACGTCCTAGCAGTTGGGGCCGCCCCCCACAAAGGCGACTTGCCCGCCATGGCCATGGAGCACATCGTAGAGTAAGGCTCGTCTCCCAGCATGTCCTGTCCAAGATCTCCACCCTTTCGCCTGATGTCCACTGCCCAAATGTACTCCGAGAAGGCCGGGTTGTAGGCATGGAGGTAAGCATCCAGGGCCCCCGCATCATCCTTCCCAGCGTACAGCAGGATGAGGGACGGCTTTGACGACTCCGGCACCGGACGTGGCGTCCACCTCAGTCTGAGCCTCAGTCTTTCCGGGGTGTCTTGCATCCAGTGGGGCTTGCCCCCCCTGGGGTTTCCGTGTGTCCTTTGTCTGACCCTCCGGTCATCTGGCCCTGGGCTTGCTGCTTGCCCTGACGGTTCTGCCCGCCCTTGGAACGCCCCTTGCCGGGCGGATCCTCACCTCTGGGTCTCTCTGGGGGGTCTTCCCACTGCCTCGGTGGGTGCGGGGGAAAGGGATGCTTCCGCCCTTCTGGAGTGCTCTGGCTGGGTCCGCTCCTCTTCTTCGGTGGAGGGGCTTCCGGGGCCGGTGGGCACCCTGGAGAAATCCCCTCCCACCTGCGGCCGTCCTGGCCTCCCCCGCTCTGTCTGCCTTCCGCTGTTGGCTCTGGTGGGGTTGCGCTGTGTGCACTCTCGCACTGGTGGCCTGTGATCCCATCGGAGACCAGGAAGCCACGGGGCCTATGGCACCCTGAGTGGCCTCCTGTCACTTGGGAAGGTGTGGGCATGCCTGCGGCACATGCTTCGATGGGGGGGCATCACACACCCAGGGCAGTTGTGGGATCGGCCGCATGATCCCGAACACTTGTTGTGAAGGTGATGATCTCTGCATGGGATTCTTGAAAGCCCAGTGGTCCGGCCATGGGGTCGAGGAGGTGTTGGGGGACTTGCCTTTGCCGCCCTTACCCTTCGGCTTGGACCGGGTCGGCCCCGAGGGCCAAGATCCTTTTCCCCCCTTCTTGGGCTTCTCCCACTGAGTCTGCCACACCTTGGGTGCCTTGCTCTTGCTCTTCCCCTTCTCCGGCGCCCTGTTGAGGTGCTCATGGACCTCCCGTTGCCAGAAGAGGAAGTCGCCCCTGATGTTCTTGAGGGCTTCGGAGAGAGTGGTGCCCTGGTGCACCATCTCGTGAATCTTGCGCCATGCATTGCGCTCTGCGAACAGCAAGGTGGTGTCGCTCCCAGTCATCCAACTCCTCCTTGGTGACCCTCAGGTTGCCAAACTGCGGCAGTGCTGCCGTGCACATCAGGAGCGTCGTCCTGAAGGTCAGGTGCAATCGTTCCAGCTGGCGCCGAGATGTAGGGTGGCTCCTCACCTCTTCTTCATCCTCCCTGTCCCAGCCGTCCACCGTGATCTTCTTGTGGGTGGATGAGGGGCGTTCCCCTTCTTCCGGGAGCGCGCTCACGATGTGTTTTGCCGGGATGTAGCCCAGCTCGCCCTTGGCAATCATGCGCCATTGCTTCTTGAGGTAGCCATCACTACCTTGGAACTCCAACC